AGCGATTTGGGTTCTGGTTCTCCTCGCCTCAGTCCACTCCTCTGCCTACTGGTCACTCGCTCTCAACTCCACCTTCGGACGAGTCCGTAGAGCCGAGTGGCCCGTATCCAGAGCTTGTGGGCTACCTCATGTACCTGATGACCTGTACTCGACCCGACATCAGGAGGGAGGCCGCTAAAAGGGTGTTGCGTTACTTGTACAGTACATCGAGCATAAAGCTCGTGCTTGGAGGACAGGGTCCAGTTGTCCTCACTGGACACTCAGACGCGTCTTGGGTTGACGACCAGGCTACGCAGCGGTCGTCACAGGGTTACACGTTCAGCCTTGGCTCCGGCTCTGTTTCTTGGCGGTCTACCCGCTCGTCTTCTGTTCTCAACTCCAGTTGTGAGGCTGAGATCTACGCAGGAGCCATGGCTGCACAGGAGTTACGTTGGCTCACCTACCTGCTGACTGACTTGGGAGAGTGGCTTAGTTCTCCTCCATTTCTGTACATAGACAACAAGGCCGCTATTGTCTTATAGAAAAAACACAGACTGGAGCACAGAACGAAGCACATCGCTTTGCGTTACTTCCTTGCTCGAGAGTTGCAGTAGCGTGGTCAGCTTCGTCTTGCTTACGTGGCCACCCGGGCTGTGAGGATCTAGGATCGAGCTCAAAAAAGAGAGTTTGAATTGAATGAATCACCTGGGTACAAGACGAGGCTATATATAGGCTCGACACAAGGCCTAGTAACCAGGTGTTACATGAAGGTTCCGAGGGTCGCGAAGCGTCCCAAACAGACCCTTCTTGTATTCGGTAGAAGGCAATTCGGTGGCAACCGAAAAGCCTAAAATTCGGTGTACGCAACCTAGCTCGGTGCTATAACTATATATAATATATAGGAAAGCACCTAGCCTAGGAAATCAAGCAATTCATGCATGCATAAAATAAACCTATGCTAGAAATAGCATAATAAAGTCTAGGCAAGCAAGCATAGCTGGCATAAGCCGACGTACTCTCTCATGGCCCAACACTGCTGATATATTCACCAAGGCACTTCAACCGGGTGATCATCAACGTGTCTAATCTGCTTTAGGGCTTGTGCCTACTTTGTCTCACTTGCTCACTACGCTTTCCTTGTACTGTGATCTATATATATATACCTGCATGCTTACTCTTGCTAGGTTATGATCACTGTACTGTTTGCTCTCTTTTATATAACTCTGCATGTAAACTGATCTTGTGGCCATTTGCTTGTGCTCAGAATGTGTGGTGACTTCGTGATCCACCCTGAGCTTGCTTTTCTTGACTGGTCTTGTGACCGCTTGTTGTCCCCCACTTCGCCTATGGGGGTGTGTCAAAAATAACTTATATGTTGTGGAGGCTGTAGTGGGGTAGACTGTACTGAGTATAGCCCATTAGGGTTACCTCCCACTTGTACTCCTCACTCATGCTAGTGCCACAAGCAGGCAGTCAAGCACATGAAGGGGAGACGGAAGGACATGTCGTTGCTCACCTGCAGCTTCCAGAATGTTCATGCCGTCTTGCTCAAACCAGTTTTGGTACTGCTGGCAAACACTCACTTTGAAGCTCTTGTTGATCGACACAACGAGTGGCTGCAAGTCTGCCGTGCATCCCGCCGAGATGATCGCTGGCACGATGTTGAGCGCCGCAAATTTCGCCTTGACTTCGGGAGTCAGGTGACCACGGTAGGATTCGAGTATCAGCATGGCACTCCGACTCTGCACGCCAAATTTCGGTTTCAGGAACGGCACCACGCCCGCATCGAGCCACTGGATGACGCCCGCGGCCTCCATCCACCCGTTCTCTTGGCAGCCGACCACGACACCTGCACACATGCAAGCAGTGGTTAAGTAATTCATTGTTTTTACCGTTCAAAACACGCGCATTAACATCATCTTATCGTTTGGGAAGTCTCCCTTTGGGAGGGTCTTGCGCTTGAAAAACACCCACGGCTTCAACTTCTTTCCTGTCGTCGTGCACGCCAGCATGAAGGTGACTCTTTCCTTCTGGTAATCACCGCTGCGGATGGGCACCGGCGTGTGCTCCACCGTGGTAGTCGCCGGCAACTCCAACCACAAAGGCGTCTGGACAGCGTTGATGATACATCCATTGTCGATATCGTACTCGTTGCGTGCGTCGCGGACGTACTGCCAAAATTCCTTGCACTGCTTGGCCACGTCTGCGCACTGCAAGGGAAGATAGAAAAAAAGGCGGATGAGTACCGCTATCCAAAGGCGAATGACAGTGCACGGACAGGTACAAAGGCTGGTGAAACCAGGGCTGATTTTATCAGGGTAATTACCCTGATTTCAGGGTGATTACAGGCTTCTCACCTGGTGGTCCCTGCAATTTCAGAATTTCTGACTTGTGAACACTGATCCATTCAGAATAGTGCTTTAGCGAACCCTGAAATATTGTATCTAGGCTCAGAGTAGTGTTCTTACTGACTCTGTCAATGTAGAGTACGCGTTCTGTGGACTCAGAGTTTGGCCTTATCGGTAGGAAGTTTCTCGGAACTTTCTTTCCGATAATCCCCCTTCGGATTGATCGCAGTACAGCCAGCGCGTGAGCGACGGACAGCAGCATGTCTGACAGGCGAATACACTCGATGTTTGTTACTTTCACAAGTTGCGAATCAGTTGTTTACCGTCGTAATTGGGTGCGCGTGAAGTTACCAACATTTTTTTGCGTTTCGCACAGCGATGTTGACGACATTTAGGTACTCGGCGAATAAAAAAACTTGGCACATCTGTGGTATCGAATCGAAATGTTTTGTTGACCAAAATCGCTCATCTCTTCCCCGCACTTAAACGTATGGATATATATAATTTTGTGAAACTAAACGGTTGGAAATTACGGTAACGCGCTCAAAGTGTGCGCGAAACACAGAGCGCACTTTACGTAGAGCAATTTTTTCCCCTGTAATAAAGAGCGCGTTACTACTCTGAACTTCGAAATTCGACCCTGAACAATCAGAGTTATACATTTTTCAACCAAGAGCAATCAGGGTAGCATCATTCTGAAAAATGTGCACTCATAATCGAGGAGGAAAATTTTCCCCGGAATCAGGGGGGCCTAATATGAAACGTCAGCCCTGGATGAAACCATGCGACATCGTTCTAAGTAAACGGGAAGCAGCGAGGCACTTACGCTGCTGTGTATTCTGCGCCACCTTAGTTTTCATGCGCACGGTGAGGTTCCACCGCTCCGTCCACCGCTGACTCCCTTTCCATTTAACTTACGGGAACAACACCTCCATCACCTCGCGTGACCAGTCTACATTTACCAATTATTTTTTCCCAAGTTTCATATTATATACATATTATTCTGTAGTAAAGCACAACAACCCTTCTGCTTCAATTGCAAGCCATGGCTCGCGAGGGCTCGCGCCGCTTGGTGTGCGACGGTGAGGTTGTCAATGGCGAGCTGTGCGGTTGTCATTGCGATCGAAATTGCACAACCTCAGTTGCATTTGCGACATTTGCCAGGCTGTTATGTGTGAGCTGCATTTTTTTCCCGCCCTCAGTTTCGCGACTGAAGTCCTTGGTGCACTGGGCAGAGCTGTTCGGGTTTGCTGGGTGGGTGGTCAAATGCGAGCTTCAGAACTGGGCTGGAAACCACTACAGAAGTCAACGCACCCCACACAACACAAGTTGATTTGAAACAAGGCTGAACCAACACCAGAAACGAAAGGAACTACTGCAGGCCACTCACGAGCCGCACCGCACCATTGTCTCTGTAAGGGCGGACGCTCCAAACTATGAACATAGTCGCAGAGAACCCTACCCAAGGCTTCTAACTTTGACGGCTGTGGATCAGGTCCAAACCTCTTTCAACCTCATTCGGACGTGGTCTTTGGAAGCCCCACGTCTGAGGTGTGTTGCGGAACCAGATCCAGAGAACCGGACATGTTTTGTCACCTCCTCAGCCTGGATACGTACACACACATTTCCGTTTGTAGTAAACGTCAAGATATTTCCCTTTGTCAACTACAATAATACCCTTCCCATAGGATCAGTTGTACAGACTGCGTTGGTTCCATGTTTGAATGGATGGTTCTGGAACTAGTCGTTGGAGATTCCCTCCGTGGTGAATCATCCGTCGTTCTCCACAGCCTCAAACCACATTCGTTTTATGTCCTCCTTGCACGACCTCCTACCTTACTCGAAACTGGCAAGTTTAGGAAAGCCAAGGTTAGGAAACTAGTCCTAGAAACGTGTTTACACAATCAACAAGATTTGTCAGTAGCGATACCCTATCCTGCAGTGGACGACTCGTGCCATACATACTGTTATGTACCCCTCTCTAACCGCCAATGTTGTGCTACACTGCGTGGGGGAGACAAGACAAGGTCAATTTTGTTCACGTCACGTCATGAATCTACATCCTTTCATTGGTGGTTCAGCAAAACCGATAATGCAGAGCCTGCCCAGACCCTCACGTTAAACGACAGCTTGGACGGTGGCAAGCCAATCAAACCGGCGAATGTCGCTCGCTGGTCATGGCGGACACTGAGTGGCCAGCCTGGCACTATTTGTCGCCAGTGTCTCGCGAGCCGATGGCCGTTTCATGGCGATAACTTAACGTCGCCAGCCTGGCATCGATGGTCGCCGATGCCTGACGAGCCGATGGTCGTTCATGGCGATACAGTAGCTTGAAGCCGTCAGGTGGCACTGGTTGTCGCTTCGCCATTTGCCTGGGGGCGCTGGGATGTGGTGGTTGTGAGCTCAACGCTGTGCGGCTCACGGCGCGGCATTTTGACGAATCCGGAGCGTAGACGCTATTCCTTGCGGAATTACCACGAATCAGTGATCGTCAACTCGAGCTGATGTCATCAGTTCAGTAATGTCACACCTGCATCGCTCCCCTGGACCGCCGCGCCAAACGATTGGTTTTCCCGTTCAAGATGAGTTCACTGTGCGTCGTGATCAAACGGTTTGGGGCGACAGCCTTGGATGGGAGCATCTTACGAGCCGCAAAATTGTTGACGCGCTTGGATGCGGCTCAGGAGCGGAACGAGAGACTTCCTGTTCCGCTTGAACCACACAACACAAGTTCTGGACCCTGGCGTATGGTTCGCCTCCAAGTCGCCTTCTTATGGGTCGAGGCATCGCATCCCGGTTACTCATTTTCCAAACGTCGGTCTGGTTTTTGGCAGGAGAGAGAGAGGAGATTAGTAGCATCTTCTCAATTCCAGTCCTGCCTGCCAATGATAGCTCTCTCCTAGTACAACCCAAGCTCCAGTAATCTCGGGTACCACAACAAGTAGACTTGTTGGGAAGACGCGCGAGTTTGTTCCTCAGCCGTACAAAGCCCTCAGGCACAGCCTCCTCCGGTGTTCAAGTGATCCGGCCGTTCTCCAACACAGGAACACGTGATTTTCGTGATCAAAATTCGTTCACCCCCATGGAGGTTTGTGACTATATCGAGTTCGGTCTCCCCGGATCTGTGCTGTACCGGGAATTTCTCCTATCCGGACCTCCCGCTTCGGCCATCACCGCACCCAGCGTCGGTACCGCGTCCACCAAGCCTTCCATCGTTCAGTCTGGGCGAGATCTCGAGGACACCACGATCCTCCACCCAATCTCCACGTGGAATGACATTCCGATTCGCCCTGCTGACTCCGCTTTATCGCACGGCGGCGGTGGCGGCTGTGCTCTTGAAGAGGCGGGCCTGGCTGGGTTAATGATGGGCGACAGCATTGCTATGGTTTGCTGCACGCCGCGTAACTCGTGGGTGCAAATCGAGGCGGCTTGTAACGAGGCGTGTCATCCTCTGCGCGTTCGTCAGGTGGAGGGGTTACCCGCTCATTACAGTCACAATCTCGATTGGAACCTCGGGATCATCCCGCAGACATGCTCCTGCCGCCAAGACGACAACATCGGAGGGGATCCCCAGTCTGGATTGGGCGATATTTGTAAGTCGTGCGACAAGGCATGCGACAACACTGGCAAAAATGCGGGCTGCGACGCGGCGACATGCTCGACCACGTGCGACAAGCATGCGCCATTGGAGGTGATCGAAATCGGACGCGGAGAGGCTCGAGTGGGGCAGGTGTATGCGGTGAAGCCGCTGCTCGCGTTCCTCGTCTTCAGCCCCGATATGAAATCCTCGTGGAAGATCGTGGCCGTCAATTCGTCGGATCCGATGGCTGCGGCGCTGCTTGACTCGCGAAATGGTTACCCGATTTGGTTGGAGGCGAAGCTGCGCGAAATCGTGGAGTGGCTCAAGTACTACAAGTGCAACACCGTGTGTAAGTGGAACCTCCACTCTGGTATAAAGCAAGCGTTTCTTCCCCTGACAAATGGGCGTCTGCAGTGCACGTGATGTCGTATCCTCTTTTCTCTCCCCACTCTCCTCCCCTTCCCTTCTCTCCCACCCTACCCCCTTACGGCCCTAATCCTCCCTGTTCCTCATCCATCCGCTCCATGTCCCCCACAACTCATCTCTTTCCCCCGCCCTCCTCCCCCCCCTTCCCCCCCCCCCCCCCACCCCTTCTCCCACCAGTCGATCCGCCCAGCACCATCGCGGGTCGTGAGAAGCCAGCGCCTCTGCATCGCACCGTCGCCGCCATCAGCGCCGCCCATGCCGCCTGGGCGCACTGCAGAGGCCGTTGCAACAGCAGCAGCAGCAGCAGCAGCGACAACACTACGGGCAGCGGCATTGGGAGGGGCGGCGTTGCACTGAAGGATCTGAGGCAGCTCGCAGAGCAAACGGCGTCCGCTGCTCTCACCAACGCCATCTCTGAATTCGCACGCGTGCCCTTCGCCCAACCTGCATCTGCGACTGCCGCCGCTGCTGATGGCGCTTCTGTTGCCGAGCCTGTCGGGCAACAGGCTCGGAAGGAACGCCGGTTCCGAAGGTCAGGCTCGGAACCGGGCTGGTACAGCATGCGAAAGAAGGAGCTCGCAATTAAAATCGACGAGCGAGCGGATGATGCAAGTGAGAGTGATGGTGGGAGTGGGGGGTGGGAGAGAGGAGACGAAGGATGGCAGGAGTATGATGATGCGGAGCAACAGCAGAAGCAGCAGGCGCAGCAGCAAGGAAACCCGCAGCAGGAGGGGAGGAGGATGACGAGGCACTGGCGATCATCCTCGTGCTGTGCTCTCGAGATTCCCACCGGAATGCTCCTGGACTCCCCCTCCCCCTTGCATCGCTCCTCCTCTTCCCACCTCCGCCAACCACTCACCCCCTCCCCCTTGACTCGCTCCGCCTCCACTTTCCTGCGCCAAACCCTCACGCCCTTCCCTTTGCCGCGGCCCCCTATGCATCCTCTCACCCCTCGCCGCCACCTGCGTGCCTTCTCGCTCTCCTCGTCCTCCTCCCAGAAACAGGCGGGCTCGGAATCCGTGTTTTGCGACCTTTTAGAGTCGGATCAAGTGGTGGGTGAAGAGGAGTGTAGAGCGGTGGATCAAGCGTCCAAGGACAGCCCAGCAGCCGTGCAGAGAGGCTGTCACGGCCGATCACGCAGCAGCATCAGCTTCAGCATCAGTGAGACCAACACTGACACTGGTGCTTGTGTTAGTGGGAATCGCAACGCAGTCCGCAGCAGCAGCAGCAGCAGCAGCAGCATGAGCAGCAGCAGCCACCGTATGGCTCGATCTTCTACCCTTCACGTCCTCATCCCCCCTCCTCTCTTAGACGCTTCACCCTCAACCCCTCCCCCAACGATCCCCTCCGCTTCTCCTAATTCCATTTACCCTCCCTTGAAACCTCCCCCTGGGATGGCTTCTCCCTCGCTCTCTACCCTGCCTTCTCCCATGCCTGCTGAGAAAGTAGGCAGGTACGACTTCCGCCGGTCCATGTCCGCTCACACCGTACGGGACTCTCAAACACCACCTGGGAGGGTTGGGAAGCTTGAACGGTCTGGCAAATCGGGAGGGCTTGACGCAGATCTGCTGCCTGATACACCGAGAGAGCGTGCTGGAGTGCCCAAGTCGCCACAGGCAGGAACTGATCTTTCCAGAAACTCAAAGGGACGCAGCGGCCTGCCGAAAACGCCGAGAACTCCCAACACGCCGAAGACACCAAAAACACCAAAAACACCCAGCACTTTCAATGTGCCAAAGACGCCGAGAATGCCGAGAACGGCTGGAGAAGATAGCTCCTTGCACAAGTCGCCAAGAGCAAGGAATGATCTGCCCAAGACCCCCACGGCAGGCAACGAGGTGCCCAAGACCGTGTTAAGGGCACGAACTGATCTGGGGCTGATTACTGCACGGGCACACAATCAGCTGGGAGTGATGGCCCCAATGGAGCAAACGAAGCTGCCCCAGCCTCCTGAAGCTGCCTCTGGTGCTGCTGGTGGTTCTGGTGGTAATGGTGGTGACGCTGGTGCTGGCGGTGGTGATGCTGCTGGTGATGTTAGTGCCGTAAGTCAAAGGGACGGCAGCAGTGCGTCACTGAAGCAGACAGCAGGCGGCGGTGGTGAGAAGGGTAGCAGCAAGAGCAGAATGCTGAAAGCAGTTTGGGAAGAGCGGGAGAAAAGGCCAGAGTAAGAGCGAGAACAACAGCAGCGCGCAGGGAGCATCTGCAGATGCTCCGGCTAGCCACATCACGCCTTCACCGAATTCCCTTTCCTTGAAGGGACTGGATTCTGCTGGGTCTGCTTCAGGGGGCTCGTTTTGCTCTCCGGCGGCTGCTGCTGTTGCTGCCGCTGCTGCTGCTGCTGCTGCTGCTGCTGCTGCTGCTGCTGCTGCTGCTGCTGCTGCTGCTGCTGCTGCTGCTGCTGCTGCTGCTGGTGTTGATGTTGATGCTGATGCTGAATCTGTTGTTGGCCTTGACGAGATTCATGCAGATGGAGGAGAGGCACTCTTGGACCTCCCGTATTCATCCAACGGCGACCACCATGCCGAGTTTTACACTGACTTCACCATGCCTCTTTCAGACTACACTGACAGCACCATGCCTCTGTTCGACAACGCTCACAGCACCACGGACGTGTTGGCTCGCTTCAAGCGCGCTCTCTCCGACACCACCGAGCGACGCGCACCTCTTTCTGAGGACGCCTTTATTCGGACAGCATCACACGTCTTCGTGACGGCAGCAGCAGCCCGCGCTTTCCCACCAGCAGCAGCTCACGGCTTCCTGATGGCACCTCGGATGTGTCGGCTCGCTTCAAGCGCGCCCTCTCTGACAACACTGAGCGACCTCGGCACAACACACCACAGCACAGCCGCTATGCTGCCGCCGCCGCTGCTGCCCCGTGCTATGCTGCCCCCTTTGAGCATTCAACGCATGCGGCATCCCCACCTCCTCCACACGCAGATGCATACGGTATCCCCGTGCACGCCACTCCCGTTTACCCGGCTCCACTGCGTCGCCACCACCCTCACCCTCGCAGCAGCATCAAGGCTGATGGCGACACTCCTGCCAGCATTCCTCAAGGCACCAGCAGCGCCTGCAGCGGCAGCGTGTGCAGCAGCAGCAGGAGCGTGTACATGCCTGGGGGCAGCAGCGGCGATATCAGCGGCGTGGGGTACAGTGACACCATGAGCATCAGCAGTCACGGCAGCACCAGCAGCAGCAGGAGCAGGAGTCCGGGGCCCTCACCCCCACGCACATGTCTCAACCCCGAACCTCCCCTTTAACCATGCAGCATGTGTATCGCATGGCCGGTGGAGGTGGGAGTGGGGCAGCGGGAGGAGCAGGAGGAGGAGGAGCGCAGGGGCTGTCGCCCACATCTGTTCGGTCGCACAGGAGAAGCCGCTCTTTCACAATGCTGCAGCGTGCATACGGCTCTCGTCACAACCAGCAATCCTTTGGATCGTCGAGCGATCTGGATCTGCTGCTGCAAGAAGGGATTGAAGCAGATGAATCACATGAATTGCAGGGGTTGCAGGCAAGCCAGGGAGCAGCAGCAGCAGCGACAGCGGTAGGAGCAGCAGCGGCGGCAACGGCAGCGGCACCGGAAGGACTGGAGACTCAATCAAGGCCAGTGCCTCGGCTCCCTCCCAAGAGCCCCAGGGCCCCTCGCAGCTCACAGGTCCGTGCAAACTCGCCAGCCCGCCAGGGAACGCCTGAGTGGGGACGCAACTCTCCCCAAAAATCACCCCACACCTTGGCTGGAATATTTGAGTGGGGCAAAAGTTTGCCAGGGAACTCGCCTCAGAAATCCCCCCAGGAGTTCACCCGGAATCTGCAGCGGCCGTCTTCAGCTGGCTCTCAGCCTTCACAGGCTGAGGCGGTGGTTGGTGGTTCCGCTGCACTCATGCGAAGGCAGCGAGCAAAAGCTGCTGCCTTGGAATCAACTGAGACGCGCAAGCAACCGCCTGCTGCTGCTTCTGCTTCTGACTTGCGTAGTGCCGTTGCTGCTGCTGACTCAGGTAGTGCTGATGGGGGAGAGCAGTTGCCCCTGCTGCAGCAGGAACAGGAGCAGCAGCAGGGAGAGGTGGGAGAAGAATTGCTGCTGCAGCTGAAGCTGCCTGTGAAGCTGCAAGAGCGGTTGAAGCAGGCAGCACAAAAGCAGAAGGCGGAGCAGGCAGCGGAAGGGCAAAGGTTGAGAGAGAGGCTGCAGCGCATGGCACTAGGTCAGGTAGTAGAAGGGCAGATGGTGGAACGGCAGGGGGTGAGGCCTGGGGGCTATGAGGCAGTCAGAGCCTCGGCAGCAGCATAGCTGGCTCCCCTCATTTGCCTCACCCCGCCCTGCGCTTCCCCAGTCGATGCCTCCCCTTCCCCAGTTGATGGCTCCGCACCACCAGCTAACACCTCCCCCTTCCCAGTTGACGCTTCCCCTTCACCAGTTACCTCCTCGCCTTGGCCCCTGGGCAGCTGTAGCAGCAGCAGCCGAAGCAGCAGAGGTTTCAAAGCACCAGCTGCAGCTGATGCTGATGCCGATTTATCATCTCAGGAACAGCAGCAGCTCGAGAAGGGACCATGGGTGGGTACGTGGGTGGATGTGGACGCAGCATTGAGCTGTCCCAAGAATCAACAATGGAGGGATATGCGGTCAAGGAGGGGGGTTTGGATGAGCCGAAAGTGCAGCAGAAGAGTGTTGTGGAGGGGAGGGAAATGGGCGAGTGGGGCGTGAGACATGAGGAGGAGCAGAGGGGGGAGAAAGTAGAGGAGGAGGAGGAGGTGGAGGAGGAATTCTCTCACGAGCACCATAGGTCAGCGGCACGAGTGGAAGAACATACCAGTCCATGGCTGGACTCGAGCTACACCTCCTCGTTTCATCCGAGCGACTCGCGCTACTCTAATAACAAATGTTCCTATACTGAGGATGATGCCCTTGGTTGTTCTGACATCGCGGAGGATGGCAGTGGTGGGTGTGCTTATAACAAAGGCCTTGCTGAGAGTGTGTATGGGGATAATTCCTCATTAAATTCTCTGGGGGAAGACAATTCCGTTGGGGTCGACTGTAGTGGCGCGGATTGCCACAACGGCAGGGAGAAACTGAGCAGGGAGAAAAGCTGTAGCAGGAGAGCACATAGGAGCAGCAGCATGGAAAGGAGTATCCAGGGCATTAGCAGTCACACCACCATCTTTCCTGACGCCCAAGACAGCAGGACATTGCGACGACACCGCAGAAGTGCTAGTGTCGCATCTGAACGCATCTTTGAACGCGCCCTTGAGCCGAACTTTGTACCGACGTTGCGGCGCCGTGACAGTATGGGGAGCGTGGGGAGTGTGGGCAGTGCAAGCTTGGTGTGTGAGCGGATCCTGAGCGTGTGTGACGTCTCACCTGTGCCCATCATTCTCTCCTCCCACCTGAGCAGTCCCAGGTGGACCCGACAGGCTGCTGCTGCAGAGAGACTCGATGTTTGCTCTGCAGGCAGCAGTGATGTGTACACAGCACCTGCAGGCGCAGAAGGAGAAGGGGAATCAGAAAGGGCAGCAGATGCATGGTTTCCACCATCTGTTGCAGTTGCAGACCACTCATTTGTTGCAGCAGGAGCAGCTACAGGAGCGGCAGCAGGAGTGGCAGAAGGAGCAAGAGAAAGAGCATCTGCAAGAGCAGCGGCAGAAGGGACAGCAGGCGGAGCAACCTCCTCTGCTGCACCTCAGTTGCCACGGAGACCACCCCGACTTGGTGCATCCAGAAGGTTCCATCGCGCCTCCAGCTGTTCGGACATAGACATGCCATTCGGCATTGGGCAACCGCAACCTGCACCTGCAGCAGCGGCAGCAGCAGTACCAACAGCAGCAGAAGCAGCAGCTGAAGAGGCAGTAGCAGCAGCAGAAGACGATGCAGAGGGCGAGGGAGGGAAGGAGGGGCAGGAGTCACTCGAGTGGTGGTTGAGGCGGTGGCATGAGAGCATGGGTGCCTCATCTTCCTTCTCCCTGCCCCATTCCTCCACTCCTACCGGGGGCCTCTTTCTGCCCAGCCTGCCCCACTGGACCAAGCGGTCGCTCCCTCGCTCGCTGCGCATCTCCCGCTCGCTGCTCTCCTTCCAAGAGCGCGCCCTGCTGGAGCACCGCGAGGAAACTGCCCTCTTGCAGGGGACGGCTGGCAGAAAGGACGGGGAGAACAACGGGGAAAACCAACCGCGCATTGGGAGGAGCGGGGAGAGCACTGAGGGGATTCACGATGGGAGCAAGGAGGTGAGAAGCAAGAGACATGCGAGGAGGTGTGAGAGGGCAAACAGTGACGGAGGAGTGGGCTCCCTGCTGTCTGCAGCTGCGGCAGCGGTGGCAGTGCCAGTGTCCCCCGGAGAGTCGATCCGAGCAGCCGTGGCCGTCTATTCCGCGTCGAGAGAGTTCTGGCGGCCCCCCTCCACCCCCAAGCCTGTCATGGCCTGCCAACAGAAGCACGCCAAGCTGTGCCTCCCCATTTACTCCCCCCCTGTGCCGCCTATTGGCCTGGAAAAGGTCATGGAGGGAGCAGCAGGGGTAGGTGGGACTGGTGGTTTTGCTGGGTTTGCTGGGCTTGCTGGGTTTGGTGGGGGTGGTGGGTGGAGTTTGGGTGCAGGCTGGTGGGGTGCAGTAGAGGAAGCGGGGGAGCAGGCAACCAGGTCCTCGTCCCCCCCGTCTGGTCGGGTCGACCGGTGGGCGGTTGGGTACCTAGCAGGCAACCTGCAAATGTACCAACCGCCTGTTTTGAAGACCCAACCATACCTACAGTTTTTAGGGCAGATCCAACAGTCACTAAACCAATTAGTGTGAACCAAACCTTGATTTTTGTTTTCGTTCACCAATCACGTTCAGCTTCGATAGTGTTACCTACCCCCAATTTTAATTGTACTGCTGGTTGCATCGCAGGTTGGTACGTTCGTGGCTGGTTGCCCAAACCAGCTGGTTGTGGGCGGTGTCAAGAGTTGTAGCCTGAAGTGAGGCTTTTCTTAGAGGGTACAACAGTTAGGGTTTGTTATATGTACCCCAAACCAACATCAATGCATCATTCATTCCTCAGTTTGACATGGTATCACCTAGGTGTAGCGTAGCGTAGCAACCTTCCTCCCTCCTGCTGCCCGTCGCGTTTTTCCCCCCGCTGCCCGTCGAGTCGCGTTTTTCCCCCCGCTGCCCGTCGAGTCGCGTTTTCCCCCCCTGCTGCCCGTCG